AGGCGTGGTTGCGGGGCTCCCGCGGCCGCTCCCTGGCCCTGGCGCGCCCGGTATGCGCGCCCCCCTCGGGGAACTGGCAGTCCCCGGCTGGGCCGGAGCCGCGTGGGCGCCCTCTCCGCTGGTCCGCGGCGGCGATCGTGGAGTCCGCACCGCGCTCTCTGCAGCCCTACCTGCGCCTCATGCGGTTGGACAAGCCCATTGGTGAGTGCGGGCGGGTGCGCGAGGGGCCAGAGGTTTGCGGGCCGCTGCCCCTGAGTCTGCCCCGCGTAGCTGTCCGCCGTGGCTGGCCCAGGCGTAATGGAAAGCCGGGAGTCCGAAAGCCGGGGCTCAGCTCCCAGGCGCCGTGCGACCCCGGGCGAGTCATCTTAACACTGGTTCGGGACAGTCTTTGAAGGGACTCGCCGGCCTTCATGCCCCTCTGAATCCTGAACCCCCGAGATGGGGGGAAAAATTCACTCCTTCCACAAATACTTGTCTAGACGGTGAAACTAGCAGAACATTCCGTAGTCGGTGGCCCTGCATTTGCTCAGATTTACAGTATGGAAGCACTCCAACATTCAGTATAGTGTTTGATCCTCCCTGCAGTCCTCTCAGGTCCACAGGGCAAATAATTAAGACAGTTACAACGCCGAGGAAACTAAGACTCCTTGTCAGAGCCAGATCAGAAGAACCCAGTGTTCTGATGCTGAGTCCAAGCTCTTTTTCCAGGATCACCTGTAACGCAAAGATTTAATTCTTCTGATCGCAGCAGGTACTGCGCTTATGGACGGACTATCAGCTCACAATCGCTCCCTAAGGGAGGATTTCCCTGAGCTTCCTATTTAGAGATTTTATTTGTTTATTTATTTGGTGGCTGGCCATTGAGCTTCCTATTTAAATTGACATCTACCATCTCACTCTCTATCCCTTTATTTATTTTTCCTCATAACACTCACCAGTAACTAATCTTATGCACTTATTGGTCAGTTGACTTCTCCTATAAAATATAAGCTCCACATATATATGACTTTTCTATCTAGTGCCTAGAGCATTCCTTGGCAGTAGTATTTCATGATTAATAAATCCCTACCACATTGCCTAGCCTTAGAGATAGAAAGAGCTATGGAAACTCCCTGCTTTTCAATTAACTCCAGTCTAGTTGAAAAAGACAGACTATTTGGTGAGCTGGGAAAGTATGGGATCAAATATGACTGATAAATTACTGTGGGTCTCCATTGCTGGAAAAAGTTTCAAGAAGAAATTGTACTCCAAAGGACAGGTCGATTTTGCACAGAGGGGAAGAGATCTACCCAAGGGTAGAGTATTAAAACACTAAGAATATAAGCCCAACCTGGAACACCAAGAGGACATAGAAAATAGTGGGAGACGAGGCTGGACAAGAGCTGGACAGAAGAAGATGGATAACGAGAGAGAACAAGACTGATTTACCATTGCAGTGTATGGAAATACATTCAATGCCTAGATACATTCATTCCTTCCTTGCCCATCAAAAAGACCCCAAATTAGGCCTTGCTTTCAGTATTCTAGTTATATGCACTACCTATTTGGGACCAGAGCACTAAGAGTTATAACAATCAGCAATTAAACTATAAAAGCATATTAAATGATAGATAAAATCCTATTATCATTGGGAGACTGTGATGCATTGTGTTTTGGGGCCAGATTTAGGTTGACAGGCATAAATTTCTAAGCCCAGTTCTAATCTGAAGCCTGACTATAATTCTGTTCTTGGGGTCTGTATCATAGAGCTGCAGCATGGGCCTATAGGCATCCAAGACAGATGAACAGCCATCATTCCCATTTCTGCAATTAAACCTCTGGCTTCTGTCTTAGTGACTGGAAATCCCACCATGTAACAGGAGGTTACAGAGGGGTTATGCGCAAAGCTATGGGGCCAGACTTCTTGTATTTGAATCTTGACTCTGCTCATTTGAGGGGCTTTGGTTAAATTACTTCACCTCTCTGGGCCTTCATTTCCCATCTATAAAATGAAGATACTAATAATTCTAACTTTATAAGGTCATGAGAATTCATTAATATATGTTAAGCGCTTAGAACAGTGCCTGGCATATAATAAGTGCTCAAAAAATATTAGTCATTATTACTCCAGAAGTGGGGATTGGAGACAATTGTGCTTATAGTTATTACATATGATGAGCATGTTAAGAAAATCTCAGCCTGCATGTTGTGGTTCTAAATAAAGCGATGATCACAGGATTTTTCGGAAAACTTTTTAATAGTACTGTGTTAGAATTCATTCAGCAAACATTTTTTGAGTCCCTGCCATATGGCAAGAACCATAATTGACAGTAGTAGAATTCCAGGTTTGATATTCTTTATCTAAATTCTTTTGTGAGATAACTTGTTGTTATTGTTGTTGGCAGATAACTCGTTGTTGTTGTTGGCAGTTCGTTGGTAATCAGGTTCTGAGCCCTTAATCTGGGTGTTATTGGCACCACATTCTCCCAACTGAGCTAAGCAGCCAGCCCTATGGGATAATTTTATGTTCCTTGTTTTACTTTCTTGAAGTTATATCTTGCTACCTACATAAAACAATTAGGAGGTTCATTGTTTTTGATAAGGCAATATAACTTCTTTCAAATGGGTCAAGCTGCATTATTTTAGGAAGTTTCAGCAGGTGGCACTCTTTCCACGAAATTGGCAGTTAATTGTTTCATATTACTTCAGAAGAAAGTTGCTGGGAATCAGTAGGGGCAAAAGCAAAAGTAGAACTTCCATGTATGAGGAGATTTAGGTATAAATTTAGATTTAGGACTTAGGACATAGACTGCAGCCAGACTGCTGGGGTTGGAATTCCACCTTGGCTACTTTCTACCTGTGTGGCTTGGGCAAATTACCCCGTGCATACACACAATAAAGATTTTTAAATTGTCCTCTATAAGCATAGGATCATTTTTCAGCCTCATCAGAAGTACTTGAGAGTGTCCAATACCCCAGGGTATGTTGTCAGACTTTGGGTTTTACCAGCCTGATAAATGAAAAATGTTATCTCAGTATAATTTTGTTGTGTATTTCTCAAAGTTGGGTATCTCTTCATAAGCCATTTGTATTTCTTTTTCTGTGAGCTTTTATTATGTCCTTTATCCATTTTTTAATTGATCTCTTTCTTCTCCATTTCTAGGAGCTCTTTAATATTAGGGAGAGTGATCCTTTGTGATATGAGTTGTAAATTTATTTTCCAAGTTTTGTCATGTGTTTTTTTGACTTTATTTATGGTGTTCTTTACTTCTTTGGGACATGGTATTTAAACAAATGAAGACAGTTAACTGACTTGAATTTTTACCATCTCTGTCTTTTCATTTTTGCTTAGGAACCTGGCTACTGTATCTGCCATGTACATGGAGCATTGGTTTGGCAGCTGAACCAGGTTGTTTTCCAGATTGGTACATGTTATCCCTCTTTGGCACTGGTGCTATTCTGATGCGTGGAGCAGGCTGTACTATCAATGACATGTGGGACCGGGACTACGATAAAAAGGTAGTTTCGCCCTGGAAAGGAATGGAGAGCCTCCTCTCAATTCTGCAGAATAACGTGATGGCATCACTTTTGAATGCCACATAAAGCAACAAGATCATTTAGTGTCTTCACTGAAATCCAGCATGAGAAGTGCCGGTATCAGTTGAATAGCTGGTGTTACAAAGTACAGTGTGACTTCCTTTCTCAGCACAAGAGTGGCCACAGGGACAAGGTGTGTACTTCATCTTTACAAAGTAAATTAAGAATTTGGATGACCTGAGGAAAAGGAGTTAAAGTTTAGGAGTGAAAGTGGAAAATCCATTCTGAACCTTTGAGTGTCCAAAAGATCTGTCATCACTTTCTTTGAGACATATTTTGGAGTCCTAACTATTCTTATGTAAATCAAATATTAATTTAAATGAACCAAGGCAGCCCTATTAGCATTTGCTATAATTATTTCTTTAAAAAACATAACTTTATTCTTTTTTCTCAGAAAAATAATGCATGCCTATTCTGAAAAATTCGAACAAGACAGAAATGGAAAGGATAGAAAGTACAAGTCCTCCTTATCTCAGTACCCTAGTTAACAGTTTGATACATTATATTCTTTTGGATTATTTTCTGTGCATATTCTAATGCGTGTTTATAATTATTTCTTTGTTCCTTAGTGGACCATTATTTTATCAAGGGAAGGGGCCATCTTGTTTGCCTTTTTGTCCTAGCAGCTGTGCTATAATAAGATCATTAAATGCTTGATTAAATAATCAAGTGGACTTTGAATTTAAAATAAACCCATAGTGATTTATATAAAATGAATAATCTTACATAAACATATATAAGGTGAATAATCACCCATAGTTTGCCTTTCATATAGTCTGAATTTTCCTTAAGCACGGCACACCTATAATAATTTTTAGTTTATGGAGAATTGTCACATTAATATATTTTGTGATTCAAAAAACCATTATTGAGTACAGTACTAGCTGTGTATGAGACCCAGAAACAAGTTCTAGGATTGAATGAATGAAGGATGACATTCCTAACCTCAGGGTTTAATAATTATAGTTCCACCAGGGAACTTACTGAAGACCACCTACCTCAACTGATGGGAGAAAGTCAGAACTTTTCAGGTGGGGGGGGTGACCTTTGAATTCTTGCAGGATAAGATGACCAAAAAAGAGTGGGCTAGAGGGTGAAGGTTACTCTAGATGGGAGGTACAAAGGTACGGCTGAGATAAAGCATATTGTGCTTGATAACTGGAACTACATGGTTTGTGTGGCTGGAGGATAGGATGTAGTGGAGGAGTGGCAGGAGCTGTAAGGTTAAGCATCTCGACCATGCTAATAACATGGTTGGGATGCTTTGATTTGCCAGGAGATGCAAACTTTCTTGATTTGGAAGTTCACACGTCCTGGTCAGTTTTTCATTCGACATTCTATATGAATGAGGCTTCTTTCCTATATCACTTCAGCATAATTCTTGAACATGTTTAAAGTAGTTCATCATTTTTTAAAAAAAAATTTGCTAGCTCCATATAAAGCTTATAGATAATGAAAAATAGTGCTGTAAATTCGTAACATTTGTGAAGCATGGGTCTGTCTAAACAAGTGAACATTTGAGATTAAATGTTTGAAAACATTTTGTTCTCAGTAACCCAGAAAAACTAATTTAGGATCTCTGACTTTGGTGGATAGGAAATTTGAAGATGAAATGCAAAATTATAATTTCTGAGTCGCTTTATCTTATTTGGTAGACAGTCTACCCTAAAAGTTTCAGTCCCACACTTTTGACTAGTGTTAAAACTAATTATGTAGATTTTGACTTCTTCCAGGAAGATGGAGTAGACCCTATTCCTCCCACTAAGTACAACTAAAACCTCTGGATGTTATATATAAAACAAACATAAGAAGACTGTGGAGAGAATGTGGCAGACTGTCTACAGACCTTGGGACCCAAAGAATAACACTGTGGTTAATTTCCTGGATTTTTTTTGCCTCACGTATTCCAGACTTGGAACTAAAGAAGCCAGCAACAGGAACACCAATGAGCATAGACCCCCCCCCCCCCCAAAAAAAATAGCCCCAACAAAAGCCTACTTGGCAGGTGTCAGTGGAGGCCAGTTGGGGAACATGAGCTTCTAGCCCACAAGGTAGTAATTAGGCAGTGTCCTCACCCCCTTTCCTTACCAGAGCTATGTCAAAAAAGGTCACCTAAAATAGAAGGTTTAAATAAGATCCTGTCTCATGACATAATAATCATAATGTCCAGGTTTCAATTAAAAATCACTCATTATACCAAAAAGTAGGAAAATCTCAACTAGAGTGAAAAAAAGATAATCAGTAGATGAATACACTGAAATGGCAGAGATGTTGGAATTATCTGACAGTGTTTTTTAAAGCAGTGATTATATAAATGTGCTTGAATGAGCAGTTACATGCTTGAAACAAATTTAAAATATCAAGTCTCAGCAGAGAAATAGAGTCTTAGCAAAGAAATAGAAAACTTAAAGGAGAACCAAATGAAAATTTTTTTTTTTTGTCTTTTTGTCTTTTTTCCGTGTCCGGCAACGGATCGCAACCCTCAGTGTTGCCCCCGTACCGGACCGGGACCGGCAACGGGATTGCAACCCTCGGCGTTGCCCCCGCGCCTCACTCAGCCAGTGAGCGGGAACCGGTCTGTATGTGGGATCCGAACCCTCGGGCGGGAGCGCCGCTGCACTTCTCAAGCGGCGCACTTATCCAGTGCGCCACCGGGCCGGCCCCCAAATGAAAATTTTAAAAGAGGGCAGGACTGAAAAATACTTGAAGAACTAATAATTGCTGAAAACATCCCAGATGTGGCAAAAGACATAAATCTACATTCAAGAAGGTGAACAACCAAAATCATGAGAGACAAATCCACACCAAGATATGCCATAGTCAAACTTATGACAACTAAATAAAATTTAAAGATCTTGAAAGCAGTGAGAGCGAGATACCATAAGCCCAATCCATAAAATTAATAAATTGGACTTCAAAACAGTTTTTGATCTGTGAAAGACCCCATTAAGAGGATAAAAAGACAAGCTACATCCTGGGAGAAAATATTTGCATACACCATATCCAGCAAAAGACTGGTATTCAGAACATATAAAGAAGTCTCAGAACTCAACACTAAAACAAGTTCAGTTAGAAAATGGGTAAAGACATTTCACCAGAGAGGATAGACAGATTGCAAATGTGTTCAACATCCTCAGCTTTTATGGAAATATGTTCAACATCCTCAGCCTTTATGGAAATGCAAATTAAAACTACAATGAAATGTCACTACAAACCTGTTAGAATGTCTGAAGTGAAAAAATAGTGATAACACCAAATTTTGGCAAGGGTGCAGAGATACTGAATCACTCATACATTGCTGGCAGGAAGGGTAAGTGGTACAGCCATTCTGGAAAAGACTGGGAGTTTGGCGGCTTTTTTGTTTTGTTTTTTTATCTAAACATGCAGCTACCATACAACTTAGTAGTTGCACTCCTGAACATTTATCCCAGAGAAATGAAAACACAAAACCTGTACATTAATGTTTATAGCTGCTTTACTTGTAATAGCCCCAAACTGGAAACAAGACGTCCCTCAGTGAGTGAATGGCTGCACAGTGTATGATAAGTCTATACCCTGGAAAACTGCAGCAGTAAAAAGGAATGGACAATTGACACATCCAGCAGTCTGGAGGAATCTCCAGAGAGTTATGCTGACAGATAAAAAGCCAATCTGAAAAGGTTACATACTGTGTGATTCCCATACTGTGTTTATATAACATTCTTGAAATAACATTATAGAAATGGATAGATGAGTTGCCAGGAATTCAGGAGGGGATGGAAGCAGGAGGTAAGAAGGTAAGGCTGTCAAAGGGCAAAACGAAGGATCCTTGTGGTGATGGTACTGTTATATATTCTTGTTGTGAGATTATACTATGGTTTTGCAAGATGTTACTATTGGGAGGAATTGGATAAAGGGTACATGCAATCTCTGTTATTTCTTAAAACTGCATGTGAATCTATAATTTTTCCAAAAGACAAAAGTTTATTAAAAAAAATAATATATTCAGGGCTGGCCAGGTGGCTCAGTTAGTTAGAGCATGGTGCTGCTGATAACACCAAGGTCCAGTGTTTGACCCCTGTACCAGCCAGCCACCAAAAAAAATAAATAATATATTCAAACCAACCAACTTTTCCCATTTTTAAATTAACAAAGTATGGCCGTTTTAGTTCCCCCTTAAGCAATTTTTTCTCCCTAAATAAAAGGAAACGTTAGATATCTTTCCTGTTGTGCCATTTTTCTCTGATTGGAAGAGTTTTGGGGTTTTTTTCACATTCAGTATTTTTATTTAATATTCTTGTGGACAGTTTACATACCTCCCTTTGCCCTTTCCTTTAAGTTAATGTGACAAATTTTTATAATAAACTACTTAAAGAGAAGCTTTGGTCAAGAATGGAATAAAATAGCAAAAAAACCAAACCAAAACAATCACTGCTGCTTTTAAAAAACCAACACATTTCACCAATTATATTCAAACAGAACCACACAATATTGAGCAATATGTATTGTCAGTGTTTCCTTGGGGGCTGGCTTACCTCTGCACATGGCTGAGCTGCAGTCAGTCATGGTTTTCATGCTGCATCGTGGAGGCTCGCTCAGCTTTGCCTTATCCGGAGGCCCCGGATAGATGACTCTAAGGTCTTAAAATCACGAATTGTCATGGCTCTGTTGATACCAGTAGTGCAAAATTTTTGACAGTCTTTCTTGTCCTCATAAATAGACACTTGCGTGATGCCATTCTGGTGCAGCGTCTCCAAGGCTGTATTGCAGCCCTCAATTGTGACCCTTTTGTCCATGCTGCAGAAGCTTTCCATGCAGGCATGTTGTGCTGGATTCTCTGTTTTGGAATGTCTAACTTGGTGACATAGGTCAAGCACCTGTGGTCATAGTAGTTAAACAGCATCAGACAACAGTCATGGCTAGCATCTACAGTGCTATTCTCCAAGACAAACAATACACTCAGGAATGACAGGATCTGTTTTCAGAGTTGAGACTTACACACTTAGGCATTGGCAATGGACATGGTGCTGTTGTGGCTGACCCAGGCCAGGCAGCTCCCACTGATGGAGAAGCTGACCGTAAGGACCCAGCCACCAGTGCCACTGCCACCAAACTCTGACATCAGTTAATCAAAAGACATCTTGCTGCCCCAGGGTGTACTGGCTGGCTTTTCATCCACTTCTTGAATGTAGGCAGAAAGCATTTGAAGTCACATGGTCCCACTGCCAGCAAAACATTGTTGGTATGCCAATCCAAGCTGAGGACAATGGAGCAAATAGGCTTTTTAGTGTGCCTTCTTACCCACCAGTCATTTTCAGACTCAAAGTAACAAACAGAAATGAGTCAGGCTCCACTTCCCGCAGCAAATGTGTTCTCTAGAGGGGACTGCTTTACAAAAGTGGCTGCATGATTAATTCTCAGAATCACCAGGGTTGGTTCATCTTTCTGACTCCGGACATAGGCATTTCGGTCTGTCCCACAAGTGACAATGTGGTTGCTCTTGCAAGCCCAGTCAGTACCTGTGATGTGTCCATTGTGCTCCTTGAGTTCCTGAGTTTTCACCCATTGGTTCCCGTTCTTATAGATGTGCACTTCATGATTATTGGGGCTAAAGTCGATCTCTGGGGTGGGGGCAGTCTGGACGGGCTCAGAGTGGAGAATTCGCAGACTCTGGTTGGTGGACACAGGCTCCAGAAGGACCCAGGCCTGGAGGGAGAGGCTGATAGATCCTGGCTAGAAAGTTTAGACTCTGTATTGACATACAACAAAGCACTAAATGAGTGTTTTATAGCTAATGAAGTAGTTTTGCTCACATGAATTTTAAAATGTTATGTGCATCTTTTTTAAATGTGTTAAAAATGTTGGCCAAATTATAATGCTTACCTCAGTTTTTTGAAGGCAATATATCATTAAGGACATATATATTATTATGGCTCAGGATTATGCTTAATACATTACAGGTTAAGTAAATTGCTAGTACATTAAGTGATAAGTGGATTACTATTAGAGTATATGGGCTAAGTGTGTTGATTCATAAAATCTACTATTCAGTGATCATCTGATAAACATTAAGTTAAGAGCATTGAAATAATTTCAACACACAGGTATTAATGATTTGGTTTTGTAAGCTATGTGCATTCTGATTGCATAGAAACCACATAGAATATGTTTTGATCTTCATGTTACATAATTTTTAATCTTGATAGAATGCTTTCTTTGAGGCTTTCAAATTTAGCTAGGTAATTATCATTGTACGAAGAGGTAGTGTGACCTTGTGGTTAGTAGTATGGACCATGGGACTGGACTGACTACTACTCTTTAGTATCTATGACCCTGCAAAGTTACTGAGCCTCTGCCTCAGTTTAATCAACATTAGAAATGGCAAGACCTGGGCCGGCCCGGTGGCGCACTGGATAAGTGCGCCGCTTGGGAAGCGCGGCGGCGCTCCCGCCCGAGGGTTCGGATCCCACATACAGACCGGTTCCCGCTCACTGGCTGAGTGAGGCGCGGGAGCAACGCCGAGGGTTGCGATCCCGTTGCCGGCCCCCGGTCCGGTACGGGGGCAACCCTGAGGGTTGCGATCCGTTGCCGGACACGGAAAAAGACAAAAGACAAAAAAAAAAAAAAAAAAAAAAAAAAAAAAAAAAAGAAATGGCAAGACCTTGTGAATGGCTGAAAGACAGGGTCATTGTGAGGATTCAATGACATGATGCAGTGGTAGCTCTTAGAATTGTAAACACTGAAATACTAGCTAGAAAAATGATAATATCCTGAAACAAATATGAAAACAAACATTTTTAATCTGGAACTATAGGAACCAACTCAGTGATAAAAGATCCAATTCTGGTCACCCTATTCAGGTTGAGTAATGACTCACAGTTTTTGACAAGCAGCTATACTGCACAGTGAAACGTGGTATGAATCTGGTTGGCCAACTTTTTCTGTAAAGGACCAGTTAGTAAATACTTTAGGTTTTTTATTGAATATGTCTTGCTAAGCTGAGTAGCTAAATAGCAAGGTAAGGAAGTTGTTTTGTTTGTTTGGAGATGGGGATGGGAGATAGGAGAATGAGTGGTGGGAATTTTTAGTTCTTTTTAAAGCTGTCTTAAATATGAAGTTTTGATTTTTGGCAGTTCTTCAAATGTTGATTTCACTCCTTATTTATATTTATGCCTTAGTGTCTGTCATGGTCCAGTTTTGTGATTAAATGTTTAAATAAATGATTGAGCCTTTATATGAGGCTAAGGTATTTGTTTTTATGTGTTAAGGTTACAAGAACAGCAAATCGCCCAATTGCTGCTGGAGACATTTCAACGTTTCAGTCCTTCATTTTTCTTGGAGGACAGCTGACCTTGGCACTGGGTGTCCTTCTGTGTCTGAATTATTACAGGTATATTAAATGTGTTTTTCATAATCATATGTAAAATCTATCTTTTAAAATGGAGAGAGTAGGAATAAAACAAAATTGAAATATCTTTATCACAAAGTTGATATTTATTGGCTACTTATGGAGCATCTGTAAGTCAGCCCTATAAAATTTGCTTCAAGAATGCTTTCAGCCAAGGGAGTCAAGAGGTCAGCATTGAATTGATTCTGAACCAATTTCAGTTTTCGCACTACCTGTTCCCTAAGGGATACTTGGCATTTTCATAGTTTTTCTAAGGGTATTCTTGGATGTGTACATATACACCCTCACGAATACATATAGTTTTATTTATGCTGGCGATATCTCTGAAATAGATGGAAACAGAAGTGATTATACTCATTTTGCAAAATGAGGAACTATTTTTCCTAGGGTCATGTTACTAATTAGTGACAGAAGAAAAAAGTGGGAGGACTCATTCCTATATCTCTTAAACAGAGAGAATTAAACCTTTGTGCATCAGATGGCTCCTTATAAAGTGCTTCAATTAGACATAAAAAGACAGGGCTGTCGAGGGTTTGGATCCCCTTACTGGCCAGCTGCCAAAAAAAAAAAAAAAAAAAAAAAAATAGGGCTGGCCAGTTCACTGAGTTGGTTAGAGCGTGGTACTGATAACACCAAGGTCCAGGGTTTGATCCTTGTACTAGCCAGCCACCCCAAAAAAAGAAAAGTTTTTAAAAAAAGACAAAAAAGGGGGGAGGAGTGTTACTTCGCAGAGACTAGACTTAATTACATGCCTTGACCTGATGGCATCAGTAATGCGAAAACACTTTTAATGTTATTCCTAGAAGGGTGGTTTAGGAATTCCTTGAGGTATCAAAGAACATCTTATGTTACCATGTTTTCATAGGTGCTTTTCTTTTCTAGAGAAATAAGACCCTGTAATGCATATAAGGAAGAATGTCTTGAGTCTGATTCTCAGTTAGGACATCTCAGTTTATTGGACCCCTTACTGTTTGCAAACAGAGTTTAGGGAGGCAATAGCATATGGTGGTTAGTAGGTTGGACTCTGGAGTCAGACTGCCTTAGGTTAAATCTTGGTTTTGCTACTAACTAGCTGTATGACAGTTGGCAAATTACTTAGTCTCTTTTTGCTTCAGTTTCCTTATCTGCAAAAAAAGGGCGATACTAAAACTACCTGCTTCTTGGGGTTGTTGTGAGGATTGTAATGTTCTAACAAACATAAAGCACTTAGAACAGCGCCTGATACATGAAAGTACTGTATGCGTTAGCTATTATTTTGCTTGGTTGGTTTTTTTCTAATCGTCCTGTAAGTAGGGGGAGTCAAAGTCTAGGAAGAGAATTTATATAACAAAAAATATAATTTAAAATAAATATTTTCCAATACTACTAATGATGTTGTCTGAAGTATTCAGTGATTTCTAAGAGGTGGTGACATTAATCTTTTTGATGGTTTTTCTTGTTTTCAGTATAGCTCTGGGAGCAGCGTCCTTACTTCTTGTCATCACCTACCCACTCATGAAGAGAATTACATACTGGCCTCAATTAGCCTTGGGTGAGCTCAAACGACCTATAAGTATTTTCTTTGATACTTGCAAACTGTACATATATATAGTGACAGATGTCATCAGTCATGAAATTTGCCAAACCAAGAATAGATTTTCATATTTTAAAGGAAGACAGTTAGCCATTTTTTTTAGTTAAGAAATTTTGCATGTTTATTAAGATTATCATTATCGTCATCGTTATTATTTTCTGAAATGCTTTTTCTAAAATCTAGGTATATCATGAAAAGGTGGTTAATCCAGATGCCCTGAAGAGTTTGAAGAATGGGGTAGGAAGCACTCTATGGCAGGAGAACAAGGGTTAAAATTATGTATAATAGACAGCACCTGTTCTGTGAAGACTTCTTTAGACCTCCCAGAGAGAAGTTAGACAGTCTCCTGTGGGCTTCCGTAGCACTCTAATGTTGCACTTACTTATTTCAACAGCATTAATTCAAGAAGAATATATTGAAAGCCTCCTGTATCTCCACATTAATAAGTTGTAAATGACTAAGAGATAAGGCATTCTTTACATATTGGCACAACACAGATATTGAATACATATTTGTAAGTGAAAAGAAAGGAAAATAGGTAGATAAGTAGATAGGTAAGTCAAAATCTATTGCAAAAAATCTAAGACTTTTCTATTTCTAGAATATTCCTAGAATGGTTCCAGTTCTTTGAACCATTTTTCCAGTAAATAACTAAAAGATACTCCAAGAAATCGATGCCAGCCTGATTTGTGGGAAAGTTGTGGTGGAACATTTATCTTTTCCTAAGATCTCATTGAATGTTCTTTTTCTTTTTATTATTAAAAAAAAAAAAAGTAGAAAATTATATTATCAACTGACCTGGGATTCTTGGTAAAAGAAGCATAAGCATTTCCTATCTACAGAATCATATTAAGAAGCTGGTATATTTACTTCAAACAGTTTTTGAACTTTTAAGTTTACTTTGTTCCAGGAATCACACCAGGTACTAGGAAAATAAAAATGACTGAAACATATTCATCGTCTTTAAGGAGATAGGAGAGACAGCAGATAAACAGGTCATTGCTGAACAACATGGCATGTGCAAGTACCCTTGGACCACAAAGAAGAGGCACTTAATCAGTTGAGGAGGGGGTACTCTGGGTGGAAGTAGGCAGTATAGGAGGAGAAAAGGGGGTTCTAAGAAAAGACATTTGGGACACATTGAATTTAAGGTGCCTGAGGGACTTACAGGCAGAGATGTCCAGCACACAGTTCAGTATCTAGTCTGAAGCTTAGAGCAGTGATCAGGATTGCACATGGAGATTTAGAGGTTGTAAACATATGCTTATTTACAGTCCTCAGGGAAAATGGGCTTATAGAATAAATAAGTGTTCCTCTCTGTAGGCTTGTTTCTGTAGCTTAGAGGGGAAGTAGAGTTATAGGCACCACACTAGGTAGGGTAAGTGTTCTCATTAAATCTCCTATTTACTTTATCACAGGATATTATTCTTTCCATTATCTGTATTATTTTGATTATTAATTAACTTCTCTGAGCCTATTTCCTTTTTTGTAAAATGAAGCTAATAATTATCACAGAGGGTTGAGAGGATTTAATGAAGGAACGTATAAAAAACCGGGGCCGGCCCGGTGGCACATGCTATAGTGCGCCGCTTGGGAGCATGGTGGCGCTCCCGCCAAGGGTTCGGATCCCACATACAGACCGGTTCCCGCTCACTGGCTGAGTGAGGCGCGGGAGCAGCACCGAGGGTTGCGATCCTGTTGCCGGTCCTGGTCCGGTATGGCGGCGACACTGAGGGTTTCGATCCGTTGCCGGACACGGAAAAAGACAAAAAGGAAAAAAATAAAAATAAAAATAAAAAACAGCATACACAGAGCCTACTGCATAGCAAGCACTTAGTACATACCAATGGCTCTCTCCTTCTCTTTGAAATTCTAAAGTACATTTAGACTTTTTCCCTCTTTGTGTTTTACTGATCATAGGATTGACTTTTAATTGGGGAGCATTGCTTGGATGGTCTGCTATCAAGGGCTCCTGTGATCCATCTGTTTGCCTGCCTCTTTATTTTTCTGGAGTTATGTGGACACTAATGTATGATACTATTTATGCCCATCAGGTAAAGGAATGATATCTTTTTTTTAACTTTGGTTTAGTTGTTATTATTTAAGAGCTTTAAAGTAAGAACCAAATTAAGGGGAAAGTATTTTTTCCTAAAAAGAAATTCATTCGCAATTCCATGGCTCTAACAAAACATTTTTGTTTCATGTTTATATATGTTTATCAAGGCATTTTACTGTGTGAGGGTGCTTTAAAAAGTTTATGGAAAGATTTGTCTTATCTTTTAATTCTGTTTTGCCACGGACTTTTTGAAGTACCTTCATATGTCAGGCACTGTTTTAAATACTTCACAAATACTAATTTAATCCCCAAAACAACCTGCGAGGAGAGTACTGTTATCCTCATTTTACAGATGAAGAAACATGGAAAAGTAACTTGCCCATGACACCGCACTCTACCGAGTGAGCCACGGGCCGGCCCTGCCACGGACTTTTTGAAGTACCTTCATATGTCAGGCACTGTTTTAAATACTTCACAAATACTAATTTAATCCCCAAAACAACCTGCGAGGAGAGTACTGTTATCCTCATTTTACAGATGAAGAAACATGGAAAAGTAACTTGCCCATGTCACATAGTTAGTGGGTGGGAAAACTGAGAATCAAGCTAAACAGTCTTCAGAGTCTGTGCTTTTAATCGCTGTACTTTCCTACCCCTTTATGTATGCTTCTAATAATTGTATTATGCAGATTTTTTATTCAGTAAACATTTTCCTGTATTTTTGCCAATTCTTGTCATTGTCACTTTAAGACTACATAATAGTCCATTGATTTGACATGTCATAATTTTTTTAAAATTTATTTATTTTTAATTATTTAACTATTTTGGCCATTTAAGTTCTTTCTGAGTTTTCATAGTTATTAATATTGTTTTCATCAGTAATACTTCGTGAGTGTGTTTTTTCAGGTAAATTTTCAGTAGTGGTAGTATTGAGTTAAAAGGTATAAATACTTTCATAGCTTTTGATACTGCCTTTTTCAAAAGCTTAATTTTTAAAACTCCTTTTTTTTGCTTTTCTTGGTTTATGACCTTAATTTTTCTTTTACATTAATGAACTTTATTTTTTCAGCTTTATTTAGGTATAATTGACAAATAAAAATTGTATATATTCAAGGTGTACAGGGTAATTATTTGATATATGTATACTTTATGAAATGATTACCACAATCAGATTAACACATTCATCACTACAATTAGTCATCATTTTTGTGTGTGTGATGATAATACATTTTAAAATTTTTTCTCAGTATAAAAAATGTCATAATTTAATAAAAAATTTTTTCTAATATTTCAATCTGTATTTTATACTATTTTTTTCCACTAACACCTACTACCCCACAACATTTGTATTATAATGAAAAGCGGATCTGTAAGCAGCCTTATTTTTGAAGCGAAACATATAGTTTAAGAGAGATGCCTTTACTTTTTGCAGTAAGGTCTACAACCAGTGGTTAGGATAACTATGCTCCAGTTAGATTAACTTATTCAGTAAAACATCACAGGGCCAGCCCGGTGGCACACTCGGTTGAGTGTGGCGCTTAGGAGTGTGGCGGCGCTCCCGCTGAGGGTTCGGATCCCATGTAGAGACCGGTCCGCTCACTGGCTGAGCACGGTGCGGGCGCGACACCAAGGGTTGCAATCCCGTTGCCGGTCGCGGTATGGGCGCGACACCGAGGGTTGCGATCCCGTTACCGGTCACGAAAAAAAAAGACAAAAAGGAGAAAAAACAAAAAACAAAAAAAAAAACATCACATACTCATTGACACTTTTGTAATTCACATAACTAAGATACAGTTTGCTCCCTGAAGGTGATTGCACTATGAACGGAAAAACAGATAAACTAACTCCACACTCATTATTGTTTGGATTTGGGCCCCAAAAGATAGCCTGTCACGTAACTTTTGTGCCTGCAGGTCAGCGCAGAGTTCAGCACACAGCCACATGACCACAGTTAACAACAGTATATGGATATTCTTACAAATAAAGTTACTGGAGGAAACTAGGCAGCTGCATCATAAAGACCTAGTTCTTTTTTTTTTTTTTCCGTGTCCGGCAACGGATCGCAACCCTCAGTGTCGCCCCCGTACCGGACCGGGGACCGGCAACGGGATCGCAAACCTCGGCGTTGCTCCCGCGCCTCGCTCAGCCAGTGAGCAGGAACTGGTCTGTATGTGGGATCCGAACCCTCGGACGGGAGCGCCACCGCGCTCATTGCAAGCCTCGGCGTTGCTCCCGCGCCTCGCTCAGCCAGTGAGCGGGAGCCGGTAAAGACCTAGTTCTACATAAACAGAAAGGATTTGATTGGAGAGGCAAGAAATAAATTGGGCCAGAAGTGGAATGTGAATGGATTGTGGTAAGTTAGGTAGTAAGCAAGCATTTTCTACATCTGATTTTAACAGGATTGAAACTAAAAAGTGTAAGAAGTTATTGAGATTTGAGAACTGTGAGGTAGAAAGGAGCTATGTGAAGAATTAGACTTGTTTTAATCCTAATTTAGTAAAAATGCAAGTTAAAAGTCATTATAGGGTTATAAGAAATGCAGTGATATATAGAAATAGAGCTGGATGATTATTTTAGCAGTGCATTTAACTTTGATTTGGCCTGCACACTTAATACTGACCACTACTGTCATCTTTCACACCTTATGATATGTCTACATATTCTTGAAAAGACAATTTCTTCTGCAGTTAGTAGTGGGGATGGTTGCACAACCTTGTGGGTATACTAAATACCACTAAATTGTATACTTCAAAATGTGGATTTCAGGATATGTGAATTAAATCTCAAAGAACAGACAATTTCTTTTTCCTTTCTCTTATTAGGACAAAACAGATGATGCCCTGATTGGTCTTAAGTCCACGGCACTGCGGTTCAGTGAAAACACCAAGCAGTGGCTCAGTGGCTTCAGTGTTGCCATGCTGGGGACACTGAGCCTGGTGGGAGTAAACAGTGATCAGACTCTTCCCTACTATGCTGCTCTGGTTGCTGTAGGAACCCATCTGACTCACCAGGTTTGACCTTTTTCTTACTTGTCCCTCGTTTTTCCTTGGTATAAATTACAACAATTATTTAAACAAGGTGCCCTCTATGTTTACCAAACAAGGAACTTCTTAAAACAAGCAACTACGTGGCTTGCACTGCCTTGAACTGTTCCCCGCCCTGCCCCAATTGGCATATAAAAAAGCTAGCTGTATTATTTAAGAGAAATAATATGAACCTAAACCTGGATTTTTTTCTCTGTTGATTTTCCTGGAATTACTTCTGATGCATGTCTGTAAAAATCTCAGCCGTGTCTGAAGCTTGTGGATTAAGTTGAATTACTCTAAAAGCAAACTGATAAACAATACTTTTTTTTTCATCTGGTTTTCTAGTGATGGTTAGCAAACTAATCTTAATTCATAAGTTTGGATTCCACTGGCGTAGAGATCAAGGCCAGACAAGACATGAAATCCTATTCATGTCAAGGTTCTGCCTAGACAGAAGGAAATTGTCATTTTTGGATAATCACCCATACCACATCCCCTACCCTCCACAGGCTTCTATTGAGAATCTCCATTATTGACTTATAAAGTGAATGAACTAAATCTAATTTTAATTACATTGATTGCTAATAAATGGATTGTGTGTTTATTTGGTTTTTGTTTTTATTTATTTTTATTATTTTTTTTACATTCTAAGATGTTGAAGGGTGATGGGAGAAGCGGAGGGGAAGGTGGGGGGCGGGGCTGGCCCACAGGTGGCTCTTTTGCTGGCCTGGTTGCAGACAGCGGGAGGGTGTGGCTGAGGCCTGTGGGCCCCCTGCCATGGCTGAGGAGCTGGGGGTCTTCCAGTGGCAGCTGGGTCATTGCTGGGCTGGATGCAGACATGGGGGGGGCGTGGCCGAGGTCCTGGGGGAGGCCCCCCACCCCGGTTCAGGAGCCCAGGGGGGCTTCCCTGGACTGTATTTTTATATCAAAAGTTACTGTTGTTTTCATCAAACAGAATTGAAGAGATGTTAGTGAGCCTGTATTTAGATAATCTATTTTATACAGGTTATTACAAATTACTTAGTGTAGACAAGACTTGCATAACATGGTATGGAGGAAACTAAAGTATGTCTCTAAAGTAAACCACATGCTCTATCCCCTTCATTGTTTTTCTCACCATGGAAGCTAAAATATATGAATTGGTCATTCTCCGGGATTTCACCATTTTCCTGTTCAGTTCCATGAGGGTTGTCATCATCAATTGATTATCTGGTCTGGATAGTGGATATATATTAATATTTAAGCATCTAAATATTAGCAGAGGAGGGTAAAAATTATGAAGACAATCACAAATATTATAAGAAATATTGGAAACCACCTTACATTTTAAATTGAATTTATGGTTCTTTGTCCAGTCCTTGATGCAGTACTTTAAGATGAACATAGCCTTCTAGTATTTGAAGAGAAAGGAAATCATGATGATTTTAAGTCTGCAGACCACGTGATAATGAATTACTTTTCCCTAATCCTAGGGAAGAGTAAGATAGGAACACGAGACTTTCTTGATATATTTGCAGGGGAACTATGGGGGAAAAGAGATTATGTTTGTTCTAGGTTGCTAGCAGCAGATCTCAGTCTCTATGTGGGGATGGGAGGAAGATTTAGAAACGTATAGGGGCATTTTTTGTTATCATAATTGGGAGGGCTCACTATAGACAATTAGTAGGTGAGGGCCAGGTATATTCAATATCTTCCAGTGCCCCAGAGAGCCCTGTATGATAGAGTTGTCCTCCCCAAACGTGACTTGTTCTCTGCTTAGAAACTGCTCCAGAGAATAAAGCTAGGCCTGGAAGGTAGGTGTTGCAGGGAAGCAGATTTTAGATCATTCAGTAAAAGGAGGAGCTTTCTGCTGCTTCTTGGTTTGTTTGTTTGTTTGTTTTTGGCAGCTGCCCTGTGTTGGGATCAGAACTCTTGACCTTGGTAGTATAATGCTGCACTTTAACCAACTGTGCTAACTGGCCAGCTCAAGGAGCTTCTAAATAGAACTAAAAATAGTACAGGTTGCCTCTCAAAACATTCACACACCCTTCAGCTAGAAGATTTTAGGAAACAACTTGGGTGATTCCTGGTGAAAGATATGGTGGATTTTTCTACATTGGGAAACTGGGATACAATAAGGGCTTCCCATTGCTTAAAATTCTATAACAAAATGCTGTCTTGTTCTCTGCATTGGCATGTTTGAGATGCCCCAGAGTTCAGAGTAGTTACTAATGCAGTGTTGTGTTCTTCCCTTACAGATTTACACTCTAGACATCCACCGACCTGAGGACTGTTGGGAAAAATTTACCTCCAACCGAACAATAGGACTAATAGTTTTTTTAGGGATTGTTATTGGGAATTTGTGGAAAGAAAAGAAGACAGACAAAACAAAGAAAAATATAGATAGTAGAATAGAAAATTAGCAAATGATGTTTATCTAGGAATTATTAAAACAAATTTTTACAATCTTGTTACCACGTAACTAGATTTAAATCAGCAATCTGTTATAGTGTGTTAAAGAGTTAAGAGGTAGAAGATGAAGATTTAGAGCGCATTTACCTGGATTTTAATTTGACAGTTTGCTAGCAAAATTCTTTTCCTGTTACAGAAACCAGGGACTCTCACAGGACTTGAGATGACCTTGAGTATTTAAGTTGATGCACTCTTCTGCCCATTATAATTCTCATCTGCAGTTTATGGAAGTTATATGAGTTTTAGCACTTTAGAAAAAACCTGATGTGTATCTCAGATGTGTATCTCATCTAAATGAATGTCTCTGTAGGAAAATGGACTCTCGGTTTTTTTAGGGAAAAATAAAAGCTGCTATGGAAAGCTGGGGCTTATTGTTCTTTATTGTGACCTTTACTCACTGTCAAAAGCTGTAATTCAGGAAACAATGCTGTTTTTTATGTTTTAGGACAATTTAAGTAAGCAAATAAAATTTTTTACCTATTATAGCCAAGCCAAATGTACCGCTGTTCTTACCAACCTTGACATTTGTTCAGAGATCCCGTCTCTTTGTGCAGCTACAATGAATAGAACAGGCAAGCAGGCAGTCATCAAGGACTTTAATTTCTTTTTTTTTTTTTTTTTTCCTTTTTGTCTTTTTTCGTGTCCGGCAACGGATCACAACCCTCAGTGTTGCACCCGGACCGGGACCGGCAACGGGATTGCAACCCTCGGTGTTGCGTCCACACCCCGCTCAGCCAGTGAGCGGGAACCGGTCTGTATGTGGGATCCGAACCCTCGGCGGGAGTGCCACCACGCTCCCAAGCGGTGCACTATAGCAGTGCGCCACCGGGCTGGCCCAAGGACTTTAATTTCTATTTGTTTCTTTTTTATGTTATGCAGTTATAATTTATAGGATAGTGACATATTATTTAAATGTACTATTTCTTCCCTTGCTGGCTTCAGAATGTTTTCAACACAGCAGCCTGAGTAATTCTCTTTAAACCTAAGTAAGTCCATGTCATTCCTCTGCCCAGAATGTTCCAGGATTTCCCTAGGTCACTCAGTCCAAACTAAAAGTCCTGTCACCTGCTAGGCCCTTGTGATCTGGCCTCATCTCTGACTGCTGTCCACACTCACACTTGCTCCAGCCATGCTGGCTGCCTCACTGTTCCTTAAACAGGCTGGGCAGACTTCTACCCCAGGGCCTTTGCTATCACTGTTCACTGCCTGGAATGCTTTCCCCAAATTATTCCTTCATTGCAGGTCTTTTCTTAAATGTCACCTTCTCAAAGAGTTGTTTCTCAGCTACTGCTTCTAAGATTTCACATACAAATGCAACCCATGCTTCCTGTCTCCTTGCTCTTTATTGTTTTTTTCTCTTCAGCACTTATCACTGTCAACCTAAAATATATTTTACTTGAGTTAAGTGACTTTCATGGACAATGGGGGCTGTAGGGGAGACAGTCACTTGTGTTTGCGGGTTGTGGGCAGTAGTTAAATTGTTAAATTGCATAATAATTATGATAGATGATGATAGTGATGCATAGAACACTTACATGTGCCAGGATCTGATAAATAAGCATAGGAAAATTCATTTAACCATTTATTCAGTAAATACGGAACCATTGAGAGTGAGTGTTTAGACTTAGGGCAGCAGTGGCAGCTGTAACTGCTGTAGCAGCAGTGAGTTGAAGGGGAGAACAGGAACATTGTACCCTACTTCTATAAAGGGAAATATGATTGGCCTCGATCTTATCTAATTCTGTCACTGCATCAAGATAGATAGAATTTAAATCTATGGTGATTTCTGTTTTCTTCAAAATATCACCCCGTATTTTAAAATGCTTGAACATCTTAACCCATTAACACTGATTCCAAATAGTGGAGAGTAAGTGCAGTGTATTTCCATTTTATTTCATTTCCTGAGTTAGTTGGTGAAAGTCAAAATGGGACAAATCTTAAAATCAATAAAAATCCTGCAGCCATTGTGATAAATGGGGATAGGAGAATATAAAGTTAATTCATAGGTTCTCGTGCTCTCAAAAACCTGCTTAGACTTAATTGAATTATTTTAGTTTTTTAAAATTTCTCTTCCTTTTCCCACTAAAAAGTCTGAAAAAGTAGTGTAAATGGGTAAGGGTAATATATAAAGAAAAGAGGTTTATTTGAATGAATCCATTCCTTCGAGAGCCCACTAATCAACCACCAGCACCCCCCAGAGAGGGCATTCATCTATTTATGAGGGATCTGCCTCCATGACCCAAACACCTCCCAACACTGCTACATTGAGGATCAGAGTTCAACCTGAGCTTTGGGGGAGCAAAAGGAAAAACAGAAAAAAAGATTTAGCAACAGTAGAAGTAGAGCAGTCATCCTAGTAATGGGACTGGCTATCCCCAGCACAGCTGTCAGGGGGGATTGCCAGGAACTTAACCACAGTTGAAATACCCAGTATTGTCTTGGGAAATCCATTCAGTGGAGAGGAACTGATATGGCTTGGGTACGTTTGTGCCCCAAAAGCTTGTGTTGAAATCTGGTCCTCAGTGTGGGAGTGTTGGGAGGGGTTTGGGTCATAGGGGCGGATCCCTCATGAAGAGATTAATGCCCTTCCTGGGGGGAGGGGATAAGTGAGCTCTCAAAGGAATGGATTCGTTCAAATAAACCTCTTTTCTTTATAAATTACTCAGTCTCATCTCAGATATTCTGTTACAGCAACACAAAAACAAATACAGGGCCCTTGCCCTACTCTTCTGTGTCAGAGTCACTGTGAGGTTATAAATAGAAAACGTGAAAGAACTTCATAAACTGGACATTTCCTTGCATAAATTTATGGTGGGGGTGGAAATGGAATGGAGGTACAGGGCCTAAAAATTACAAGTGCTGTCTCTTCCTCTTCCTGGATATCTTCACTAAATTGCTCAATGCCTGAACCAGATTGTAAAGGCCTTCACAGTCAGACCACACCCTACTATTTCCCCAACTCAAAGTACATCCTCTACCTGTAACTTGGCTATAGCAGCAGTGAGTTGAAGGAAAGAAGAAATAGGATTATTGTACCCCACTTTTATAAAGGGAAATACGCTTGGCTTCAAGTCACAGAATTTTGAAACTGCATCAGGATAGATAGAATTTAAATCTATGTTGATTTCTGTTAAACCTAAAAAAAAAAAACCACATCTCCATGTCCACAGGCCATGTTCATTCACTCCTCTCTGCCATCACAACTGTCCTGGCAGCAGGTACCATGGCAAGGTCCTGGCCTTTGGAGCAGACAGTCCTGGCTCTGACTCCTCCCACTGCCACACTTGGGCTGTTGTCAGCATTTAACTGAGTTGGCATATGTTCATGCCTATTATGGGCTGAATTGTATCCCCCAGATTTATATGTTGGAGTCCTAACCCCCAGTGTCTCAGAATGTAACTGAACTTGCAGATAAGGTCTTTAAAAATGTGATCAAGTTAAAATTGTAATTAGTGTGGGGCCGGCCCGGTGGCGCACTGCTACAGTGCGCCGCTTGGGAAGTGCGGCGGCGCTCCCGCTGAGGGTTCGGATCCCACATACAGACCGGTTCCCGCTCACTGGCTGAGCGAGGTACAGGCGCAGCACCGAGGGTTGTGATCCCGTTGCCAGTCCCGGTCCGGTACGGGCGTGACACTGAGGGTTGCAATCTGTTGCCGGACACGAAAAAAGACAAAAAGGAAAAAAAAAAATAAAATAAAACCAAAAAAGTTAGATCCTATTTCAAGTCAAACAGATCCAATTCTTTCAACCGTCCCTTATATTTCATGGTTTCTAAACTTTCGTTTTCTCATTTTTCCTTTGTGCTACACGTTTCACTTTGTCAGTCTCTTTAGTGATCAGAATTTAAGACAGTTCTCCTAGTATGATCTAAACAGGACAGAATACTGGCCCCTAGTGTAGACTTTAAAACATCTTACCATACCTTGCTAGTCCTAAATGACTGGTGTCCTTGTAAGAAGAGGAAATCTGGACAGACACTAAACACGTGTATGCACAGAGACACAACTGTATGAGCATACAGCAAGACGGTGGGCATCTGCAAGCCAAGGAGAGAGGCCCCAGAAGAAATCAAACCTGCGGATACCTTGATCTCAGACTTTTAGCCTCCAGAACCGTGATAAAATAAATTTCTAGTTTTTTAAGCCAGTCAGTCTGTGGTATTTTGTTATGGCAGCCCTAGGAAACACGCAAAGCCCTAGTTTTGAACCTGGCATGGAAAGGCACTCTATAGATTCAATTTGCTAGAAAGCTCTCCCTTTCCCACCCCAATCCTATCTGTCCCAAAGCACAAATACTAGTTCTTCTAGTTCTAGTTCTAGGTAGGTTGAATAAAGCCCTTCCAAGTATGTCCTTATCATAATCCCCACAATGGGTGGATACATTCCCTTAAATGGTAAAGGGGACTTTGAAGACATGATTGAGTTAAGGATCTTGAGATAGACTACCCTGGTTCATCTAGGGGTGCAATGTAATCACAAGGGTCCTTATAAGACAAGGGCAAGAAGATCAAAGGTAGTAGTAGGAGATATGATAACAAAAGCAAGAGATTGGAGTGATGGGAAGAAAGGGTCATGAGCCAAGGAATGCAGGTAACCTTTAGAAGCTGAAAAAGACAAGGAAACTGGTCCCCCCTCAGAGCATCCAGAAGAAACCTGCCCTGTTGACATGACCTTAGCCCAGTGAAATTGATTTATAGCCCAATAAATTTGTTTTGTATTAAGCCCCTGAATTTGTGGTAATTTGTTACAGCAGCAACAAGTAAACTAATACAATTATTTCAGCTCTAACTGACCTGTCCTTTGACTTCCCAGAGCACTTGGTGGGTACCAGTGGAGGGGTAGCTAAGAACTCAAGTCCTGGCAACAGCTTAACTGGGTTGAAAGCTGTGCTTTAACCAGTTGGATGATCCTGGGCAAGTTACCTGATCTTTCTGTAGTTCAGATGCTCAAATAGAGATAATAATAATTACTTTTCTCATGGGTTTGAAAATTTTCTGTCTTTCCCTGCTAGAATGGAGATTTCGTGATAACTGAGACCTTCTTTGTCTTATTCTTTGAAATATTCCCAATACAGCACACGGTAAGCACTCACTAAATATTTGTAACTTATTGTACATGAAGTAAATTAACATTTGAGCCACTTGCCAGATCTGGTATTAGGTGCAACCATTAGAAATTATTAATGAAGGGGAGAAGGGACAAGTTTCAGGGAGAAAGGAGTAGGAGGGGGTCAAGCTGCAAAAGAGGGGTAGAGCTGGTGGTAAGGGGAAAGATTATTAATGAGGTTCAATGACATAAAAAAGTTCACAACATAAGGCACAATAATAAAAATATTTTCACATACATATAATCAAAACTATG